TTTCCTTAAATTTACGATTTATGTATCCGTTTGTCATAAAAATTTGTCTTTCCACTTTTTCCCGAGACTACAAATATTCGAGTACAAAGTAATTGGATTCGACTTATTTCTACTTAAGTAGTAGTTAAATAATCAAGTGATTAGGGAATTGGGGACATAAACAAAACCCTGACGAAAGAGCCGGAATATTACTTAAACAAAAGCTTAATTTAATTTCACCGAACCAATCTATAGCCGAGTACAGTGGGGACTGATTTCTTCGAAATACTGTATTAGATGTAATAAAGACAGAAATTTTTCCAGTTCGACGACAGTGACCGAAAAGTTGTAAATTTTGGAAATTTCCGTGGATAACACCCGGTCCTAAAACGAATTAGTTAGAAAACAAAAGACAGACAATCTATTAAGTTTAACGTATTTAGATTTTTACAGCTATGATGAACGTTTAAAATTTACAACAACCCTGTCGCGTCCTTTGAGATATACTAGTGACGAGACAAACGAGACATTAACCGGTATCGGCACCCTCGGGATTTGGCATGCATGCACCTACCAAGATCGTCTCTGATTCCCTCCACGAGTCAGTGATAGGAAGCACTTTTAACTAAGCGGATTGTTTTAATATTTAAAAAGTAAAGGATATCTTAAACTATTTTTATGTACGTTTCTTCACAAAACTATATATATATTCATACAATCGAATATTTTGTACCAGGTATGTATCATTGTATATCCATCACACATTTTATTTTAACGAGTAAGTTTTTATAATTTTATTTTTAATTTTAGCCCTTATATTATAGCTAGCAATTTAGAATGTAATTGTGATATTGAAAATTTATTTCAAAAAGTTTTGGCTCGAGACCTTATAATGAAAAAGAAAACATTATTAAAAGAGAAAGACCAATGCCTAAATTAAATATAAATACGTCAACAAAAAAATTTGTTCGACATTTTCACGATAAAATTTATGAAGATATAAAATGGCTCTGTGGATGCATAAAAATGCAAAAATTGTTTTGTTGGCCTTGCCTACTATTTTCAAATAAAATTAGTGTGTGGAATGAGATTGGCTTTGACGATTTAAATAATTTGAGTAAAGCTGGCAAAAGACACGAAAATCCTAAATCTCGCATCGATTCTTTCGTAAAATTGAAGCAATTTGGAAATCAAAATAGAATAGAATTTAACATTAGTACACAATATAAAATATATATTGAAAATTATAACAAGATAGTTACGGCTAATAGATATATTTTAATTAGTAGATGTTATCGAAGCGAGAATTGGCATTTAGAGGGCGCAGAGAATCTATTAAATCTAATATAAGAGAGTTAATTATATTGAACTTGCTTATTTATTAAGTGCGTTAGATAATCTATTAATTAAAAATACATTTAGAGAAGTCTACGGTTTTTACTGGCTTATCGAACAAACGAATACGAATGGACCCTAGAACATCACTGACTGATTGCCCCTGGAAGTCGGCTTGCTACAAAAACACAGCTTCCCTATCATCAAATGTCACGGCACGCCCCTGATGAATATCAATTATATGAATATATATATAACTCAGGATACAATTCTTATCTATTTTTACAACAAGGAAGGGGGAAAACTTAAAGTTTCTTCAGCATAAAAGAATAAATATTATTACAAAATACTGATCGTCGGAAGCTATATTTTTATTGGTGTTACTTCTGTGAATAACATTAAATTACTAATTAAAATGATTAGTGAAATACACATTACCTAATTTGATAAAATCTATTGGATACACTTTCATAATTACATTAAAAAGTTAATATTTAAAAAAATGTGGAATATCAGCCATTAAGAAAACAGTTAAGTAGACCACCTGATATACATTAATCAAAACTTTGTAAATCTTGAATGATATAAAATAACTGTTTGGAGAATATTGTGTAATTATTCACGCATTATAGGCCTTCATTAAAAAACACGTCTTATTATAAGAACAAACTTGAAATAAAATATTTTTCAACTCTCTACAGAAAGACCTGGTTTCTATGATTCGGCAAGAAGAGAAAAATATTCGTTTTAAGAAATAACGATTAAGTAAATCAAGAGCTTGATATTTCACAAATGGGGTTACGATATATAATACCGAAGATGGTTAAAAAATAAGACGTAAAACGTTTAGAGAAAAGTAGAAAAAATTGACTAGTTTCGATAAATATGGAAACTTGCTGTATATTTATATTACTAAATTCGTATTTCCGTTTTTTTCCTTCCTTTTTTTTGTGAGGACTTAATATATCAAGTGTTAAGTTTGGATTCTCAACGTGCAAACGTCAGCTGATTTGTATTTATCGCATTTTCTCTTAAGAAAATACGGATTTTACACTGAAATTTCTCG